TAGCTTTTGTTCGAACTTTTTTTTTAACAGTTTTATTAGTACGCGGAACAGTTGCTTTTGTACGAACCATTTTTTTTTGTTTTTTTAAAAAGAATTTTTTTTTAATATGTTATTTTCCATCGTGTAATTTTTTTTCCAACTCGTCCTAATCGTCTATTCAATGCATTGTTTTTATATTTTTTATTCATCTCTTTTTTACAATACAATAGTTCTTTACAATGGACTGGTAGTTGACGCAAATCTGTTTGTGTTGCTATGGTTTTTAACATTGCTTTTAGTCCATGTCTAGCAATTCTACGTGTTCTGGCCATTTTTTTATGTAAAAAAAATTATTTTTTTGTTTTTATAAAGTTTTTGTACAAATATTTTTATTATTTATAAAAAATGAATTATTCTTTTTCTAGATTATTAACATATTTAACTGATTATTTGAACTAAAATATAATAGAACTAAAATATAATAGTTTTGAACTAAAATATAATAGTTTTGAAAAAATAATATTGGATTGCTATTTTAGCAATAATAACGAACGAATGAATTCTGTTATAAGACAATTTTTCAAAAAAAACCTTAACGATTGTGAAAAGTTACGACAGCATATTTTGACTATCATGTTTTACGAAAAAGAAAGATTGAATAATGATGTCTTTTGAGTAGTTTTAACTCAAGACCAAACAAAAGATTATGAACTTTTAAAAGAACGATTGCATGATTTTTGTAATCAAATTGATCAATAAAACACATTTTTTTAATATACTTTTTTTATTTGTGTTTCTTTCTTTTTTTATATTTTTTTTTATTATCATTAAAAATATAATTTTTTATTGAATTATTGAATATATTTATTTTTGTTTTTGATTTAATTAAAAAAAATGGATAATATAGAAAAGGACATGAACTTTTATTTAGCACATTATCTGCATGAATATTGGAAAGAAACTGCAGAACATTTGGATTTACAAAATAAAATTGGTATTATTAATCAAGAAGAACATAAAATGGAAGAAAAAATGTATCGACTAGTAAGATTTTTTTTTCAAATGCATCCTGAAGGATATATGTTATTAGCTGAAAAATTAAAAATTTTAAAAGAAAAAGAAGAGCAAGTTTTAAACGAAAACAGAACACGAACATATGCAGATTTTTCTATGCATTATGAGAATGTTGTTGATAAAGAATATTTTGTTTATCATTTAAATGAATTTTGTAAAAAAATTTTTCAATAAAAATAAAAAACTTTTTTTATAATTTTTACTTCTTTTTCTATTTTTTTTAGGTACATAATTTTTTTTTTTTCGAATTATTGTTTTCATATTTAACTTTTTTAACTTTTTTTAGCCAAAACAAAATAATTTAAAAAAATGAATGCAGAATTAGAAAGATTAATGAATGCAAACATTGAAGCGGATAAAAAAATCTTAGAAAAATATTCGCAGTCTCGAATCAAACAATGGTTTTTATTTGAAAACAATTTAGTTAACTGGGAACTAGTTAAGTTAACTTTCAGTTAACTTAACTAGTTAACTGAAAAAAAAGAAATTGTTTTAGAAGATGGTGATTTGCTCATTGAGCATTTTTCTAAATTTTTGACAGAGTATTTTTAATTTTTTAATTAAAATATATTTTTTATAGTAAAAAAATTGTTGTTTTTTTTTTCATTTTTATTTTGTATTAAAATGATTATATAATTATTTTATTTGACAATTTTTACCTTTTTTACTTTTTTTTAGATTATTAATAAAAAAAAATGGATAGTGACACGGAATATACATGGTATTTACTACGATATTCAGAATTTTATAAAGAATTTAGCAAGATCTATCCAGATGTAACAAGTTTATTTAAACAACGAAAAAAAGTAATCAACTTTTATCAAAAACTATTAATTAAAATACCAACTTTATTTGAAATAGTTAAAAGAAATTTAGCAATTACAATAACAATGGATATGGCTAATGAAACAATTAAAAATATTGCACCCTATTTTAGTCATTTATATTTACAAGAAAAATTTGTTAGACGTTTTGATTATTTTTATTGTCATTGTTTTGAAACATATTTCAAAAATAAAAATACTTATTATATTAAAATGCAACAGGATTTACTAGCTACGATTGATATACTTTTAGATGTGTTAGTTGATTATGTATATTCACTTAACATTCACTTAACAGAATTAAAACAATTTTTTTTGATTTATTTTAATCTTTTACAATGGATGTTAGATCAATGTGAATTTGTTGAAAGTAATTTGTTTTTACCTCCTTTAATACTTCTTTCTAGCCAATTTATAAAAATTTAAAAATGTCACCGCCTCAAAAAGATGAAGACATAACTATGAATAGAAGCGAATCAGAATCAGATTCAGAATATAATGCAAAAAAGAAAAAAAGAACAAGACGTATGAAAAAACAAAAAGTAAAACGAGTTGAAATTATACAAATATGTAGAGGAAATTGTAATTATTATTGTAACTGTGTAATAATAAAAATAAAAAGTCAATTATAAAATGCAGTGTTTTTTTTTATTTTTTTAATTAATTTTTAAAAAAAAAAAAAATCTGTTCATTATCTAATTATATTTTTTTTATATTTTTTTTAGATTAAAAATTAAAAAAAAATGGCAAACAATTTACAAAGTTGTTGTTTTAGTGATAAAGATTTCACAATACATGAACTATTAAAGCATCAAGTGCAATGCAGTGCATTATTTATTCAAGAAGAAGAAAGAAAAAAAAATAAAAATTTTATTATGATTAATGATAAAGAAATGGAAGAAGTCTTTTCTGAATGTGATTGCGGCGGTCCTCATCCTCATCGAAAATGTGCATTATGCAATGAATCTTTTGGTACAAAGATCCTTTTTAATGAACATTATGTGTCGTGTTCTACTCAAAAGATATCAAAGTTAGAAGAGGATATAAAGAAAATAGAGAATCATGTGGATAGAAAAATGAAAGATTTTCAGTTGATACAAGAAAGTATGAATTATGTAAACACAGCACTCAATTTAACAATAAAAGAGGGTTCAAAGGCGGATAAAAAAATTTAAAATTTGGAAACAAAGTTAAGTATTTTACAAATGGTTTACAAACAACCTGATGTACTTTTTTCTAGCTATAAAGATAAATTAAGAAGCATTGTGGGATCGTTTAAGCGCGAATTAGAACAAAAGAAAAATGAATGTGATAAACCTTATGATGTACCTACGCAAAAGAAACTTTTTATTTGTTTAGATAATATGACACCACGATTGCAATCGAATGAACCGTATTATAGTAAACCCTGTTTTACAGAAGAAGGTTATTGTTTTCGAGTGAAAATATTTGGTTATCAAAAACCAGAAACCGTGGCTATTTATGTTCAGATTTTAAAATCTGAACATGATCACATGTTAATCTGGCCGATGAAGAATAATGTTTATTTTTTTATCAAAAATAATCATCATGAAATGATGCTAAGCTTTCCAACAACACGACATATCGAAAGTTTTGACAGACCCATTTATGAAGCAAACATTACGTGCGGTTATGATAACTTTATTAAACACGATCAACTCAAAAATTATATAATCAATGACAAACTTTGGATTCAAGTTTATTTTACTTAATGTATTTTTTTTTTATATTAATAATGAAAAAAAATTTGAATTTTAATTGTTGTTTTTTTTTTTTTTACTTGAATAAAAAAAAATTTGTTATATTAGCTATAAACATATTTTATTTTTAGATAATTAAAAAAAAAATGGAAGACTTAATATCATTGTCAAATGAATTAGTATCTGCAAACGTTAAAGCTTTAAAATATTGTTTGGGGATTCCTTATGGATGCGCAGAAAAAATTGAAAGCGGCTTAGATTTAATAAATTATATTCGAATGTATTCTCTTAAAATCGATGGAAATGAATATACTACAATGGAAGGTAAATTGCGTTATTTTATCTATTGTTTACCGCTCATAGGTAGAAATGATTTACACGCAAAAAATGAAAACTTACATTATGATGAAAAAACGCTCGTTTTTATAAAAACGTAATTCAAACTGGAAAATTATACGTAGCGCAAGATATTTATTTACCACCTACAACACTTTCCAATATGAAATGTTTTCAAACTGAACCAAGATTGAAACAAAATAATTTAACTCTACCTGAAGCTCCGCCTAGTTATGAAGAAGCATGCCAAGAAAACAAGATACCAACCCAAGGAAAATATTAATAAAAAAAAATATTATATTTGTATTATTTTTTAATTTTTATTTTACAATAAATATTGTTTCACTGCACAAAAAACATTTTGTATTTTATCACAACACAGTTCTTTATCTTTATTCAAATAAAACGGAGACTGTTCAAAATAATAAGATATGCTAATTTCTTTATCATTTCCTTAATTAATTCAACGCGAACGTTTTCTTTTTGTTCAAAATAGTTTATAATAATAAAATAACAATACAAGTTTTGTAAAACTTGTATCGATTGCCTAATAAGTGTTTCTAGTATTTCGCTATCTTCTGGATATATATCTTCAGGATCTTCAATATATTTACACGCTAAGTTGTTCATTAAAAAACAAACTTGTTGTAAAAATTGACCATTTTTATTAATAAACTCTTTTTCTTTTACCGAATCATATGAATAATCTTTTTTTATATTATCAACATTAAATCCTTTCTTATCTTTGCGAATGCTATCTAATAATAAACAATGGTACGATTTCTCTTCTATACGTTTTTTTAATTGTTCACCGTATTCAATTAAAGAATCTATATTTTTATTATACTCTAACTTTGTTAATCTTATTTTGTATTTTTTTAAAATAAAAAAAAATGTTTTTTTTTTTAATTTTTTTCAAAAAAAAATTAAAAACAAAATAAACTATATACAGTATTTTAAAAAATATATATAAAAAAAATTATTGACAAAGTTATATACAATATTAAAAAAAATAAAAAAAACCCAATGGATATCAATCTTGATATTCCATTGGGTTATTAGCCCAATATTGTCTTTTATAGGCAATCTTTTCTTGCATCGCTGCTCTTATTGCTTCTATCGTATTAAAAGTACAAATACAGCAGCCTGTGCAAGCTCCTTGCGACCCGCAACGACGATGGCAACAAGGTCTTTGCGGTCTCAAAGGAGCGAAGCACAGGCAGCAGCCTAAACACAGATTCGATTGATGATACTACAAAAAAAAAATATTTATAATTCATATATTCAATATAAAATGACTAAATAAATAACAAATAAAACAAAATAAATAAATATTAAATTATTACAAACTACTGGTATATTCCGTTCATAATTATTTTGTGGTACTTGAGCTACAACATTTTCAATATCATCATCATCATCATCATCTTCATCTTCATCATCATCTTCTACAATCTAAAAAAAACAATAATATAAATAAAAAATAATATAAATATAATATAAATATAATATAACTAAAAAAAACTATAATTACTGCTTCTGGGGTGATAGGTCGAAACAAATTCCTAATTCGCCGCTCTACTTCTTGTCTTTGTTGTTGTTGTTGTAATTGTAATTGTTCCTCCACAATCATGTCATCTCGTGGATTATATGGTTCTACAATCTAAAAAAAGAAAAAAAAAAATTTAATATAAATAAAAATAAACAAAATATAATATAAATAATAATAATATAATTACAGCAATTGGTTTGTTGTTTCCTTGTTGACTATTCATTTTATATAAAAATCTTTTATTATTTTTACTTTTATTTTTGTCTTATGCAAATGATAATATAACAAAAAACATTTTTTTTTCTCTTTTTATGTAATGCGTTACGCGTATTAACTTTATTAAAATAAAAAGATTAAAAAAAAAAAATTAAATTTTAATAAAAGGATTATTTATTTTTATTTTTAACCTAGCTTTGACGCACTAAGCTTGCGCAGTACATTTTTTTTTTAATCTGTTTTAATCTTGTCCCTTAAACAATAAGATCAGAAGGCGCATGCCGCGCAACCCCTCTTGGGGGTTGCGCATGCGCACCACATGCTATGACGTAGAAACCCATTACCAATTCCCCATTGGTCACTTAACAATGCCGGAACGATTTTCCTTTTTTTTTTATAACAGATACACTTTCAACCTATCAGACTTTGCCTTTTTAAGCAATACCATTGGTTTCTCGAGTCACATGATCATGACGTCATTGATCACGTGGTCTATTTTCAGCAATACCATTGGGTTGGAGGGAAATTTCAGGCATGGAAAATGCTACGGAACGCTACTGGGAGTGCAAATCTAGTCACCTATCATCAGACAATAGCGATAATGTTGAACCCTTTCAATTGCCACAGGAAGAAAAACATTTATATCCGCAAGGGTTTGTGGATGCCTCCGAGAAAATAGTGTTTGAAAATGAAATTAAGATGTTTTCGCAGCAAGGAAGAAAAAAAAACCGCGGTAAAATAAACCACATAAAAATACTTGCCGCTGGATTTACTCCACAAAATGACTTGGCTGAAAACTGCGATCTCATTTCTATAAACGGAGAATTGAAGATTGTAAGCGCTAATAGCATATATGCTACAATAAATGGCCAAATTAAAGAGTTCACAAGGTTATGCAAAAATTAGAGAGTTCACAAGGTTATGCAAAAATATAAACTGCAACCTTTGGTTCTTTCAGGGAAAACACTGTCAACTGCCGTTGTATTCAACCATGTCTGAAACAGACAAAGATAGAATAAACTCAGCGATGATTGTGTATGTGGAAAATATAATTTTTGAGGAAAAAAACACAACCAAGAAAGATAAAAGTGCTGACATTTTTAGCGACAATAATGACAATAGTAGTTGCTATGATAAATATTACAACACTCCATACACAACCTTTATTGACACCACCAACAAGTCTTATTATGATTCAAGCATGAAAATTCTGCCGCTAAATGAAGAAGATGAAAGACTTGGCGGCGTTTCAGAGGTTATTTTAAGACAAAACAGAGAAGATGATAGACTCGGTAGCATGGCAAGCATTCTCAACAATGAAGGAGACAACAAGTATGGCCGTTCAGTGCTATCGCTGGATTATTACAAGAGAAAATTCTAATTCTTGTGTCAAGACACAACATAAAAAGGCTGTTTTCACAGCCATGCGCATTATGCGCAAAAAAAAGAGAGATAATAACATAGACCCTGATAATTTACCCTCTGCTTTAACTGTCGCTAGCGAACAAAAAAACAGATTGCGGAGATTCTTAGATTTATACAACAAAAAAAGCGAAAATAACAGTATTAATCTTAAGAATATAATTTACTGTTTTGTTAAATTTGATGATATTAGCTTTATTATGTTTATAAGTTGCTTTTGTTAATCTTTTCCAATATAACATTTTTTTACATTCTGTTCTTTTAACATTAATAGTAAAAGGTCTAGCAGCAATATAAGGAGATTTTGGCTCTTTTCTTCTTTTATCTCTCCTCCTATTAGGCGGGAAAGCGTATACTGCAGGTTCTACACCTGCCTGTCTTGTGTATGGATCTATTCTTCGTGTTTGTTTTGTTCTAGCCATTATTTTATTTAAATTTTTTTTTATAATTATATAAATATTAAATACATTTATAATTTTATTGTTTACATTTTTAAACAGATATTTTATATAAATTTATACATTTAAATTTTTTTCTTTTTTTTTTAGCAATAAAATGAGCTCTAAACAAAATAAAAAAAAAATTCAATGGCGAAAATATCAATGAAACAAAACAAGAAAAACAAGAACCTATCAAAGATCTCCGCGATTTTATATTTGATATGGGTATTTATGACGATCATAATATAGACTGTGATAATTGGTCAAACGGAAATATTTCTGATTGGGAATCAACAGATGAAGACGAAATTAAACAAATAGATGAAGACAAAATTAAACAAATAGAAAAACAATAAATAAACATTATATTTTGTTTTTATGAAATTTTTTTCTTTTATAAATATTTATTAAATAATACATTGTTTTTTTATCTTTTAAGTTTTAATAATATTTAATTGCATATATTTTTTAATAACATTGTTTTTGTTTTCGAATTTTAAAAAAATATTTTTTTTATTAATTTTTTAGAAAATTGAATAAATAATGAATAATTTAATTGAAAAAACAAAACAAATGTTTGAAGATAAAGAAAAGCTATCTTCGCTAGTGTTTAAAAGTTTATGGGAGAATTTAATGGAAGAAATTGAACAATTATACGAAATATTGGACGAATCATTCGAAATATCAGTGTTAAAGTTAACGCTAAACGATATTCACAAAGCACAAATGATTATTATGAAAAGTGTGATCTCATGGAAGCAATATGATTTTTCAACAAACAACACAGACAAAACCATTGATCGAGCGATAAGAATCGGTAAACGCTGTTAAGAAGAACTTTTAGCTGCATATACAAAATTTGCAACTTATTATAAATTTGTATATAGTTTATACATTTTTATATCAATATTTTTTTTTTTAAATACATGATATTTTACCAATAATAATTTTTTCAACTTATTATAAATTTGTTATTAAATTTTTAAAAAAAAAATTTTTTTTAATATTTATTACTGTTTTTTTTAATAACAATAATTATATAAATAATTTTTTGAGAAAATTAAAAAATAATGAATAATTTAGTACAACAAATAGAGGAAATGTTTGAAGAAAAAGAAAAACTAATTTTAAACGACTTCAAAGAAATATGGTATAATTAACTTAAAGAATTCGAACAAACTTATTAAATGTTTGATTACGATTACAATTCGTTTTCGTTAATAGATTTAACATACACACTAAATAAAATAAACAAATTGCAAACATTTATTATAGAAAGATATTTTTTATGGAAATATTATGCATATAAAATAAACAATTGCTTTCATGAACAAATACATCATCAAGCGAGAAAAAGAGCACGACGCTGTTTAAAAGAACTTTTACCCCTAAATTAAAAATTTTTTAATAATAAACTTAATTTTATAATTATTTTTTATTATTTTATAATTTTATAATTATTATAAACTTAATATTATAAACTTAATTAAAGTTATATATTCTTTTTTTGTAATATGTTTTCTTATGTAATAAATTTTATTATCCAAATAAAGTTTTATTGTAATAAATTTTATTATCCAAATTAAAGCCCTCATTTGCCCTAATTATTGCCCTCGCTTGCCTTTTTTCTTCGCTCACCCTTATTTTTCATTTGCTCCCTCATTCCTCATTTGCTCCCTCATTTCTCATTTGACCCCTCATTTGCACCCTGGATCCCCTCGATTTTTTAAAAAAAAACCTTTTTTCTTATTTTTTTAACTTTTTTTATTTTTTATAAAACATGGGGATCCCCTCATTTTTTATATGAACACTATTTTCTATTATTTTCAATAAATTTTCATTTTTTTCAAAAAAAGTAAGTGACACTAATGGTCATCAAAAGTGATATAAATCTAATAGACTGCTGCAAAAAAATTGTCTCAAATGAAAAACTTAAGTATGCAAGTAAGCCTATAAGAGACAAAAACCTTGAAAATAAGTTAACAAAATATGTATGCACGGTCTCGATGTTAATATCTCATATTAACCAGCTGACAAACATATTTAATAATTCTGTGAAAGATAAGAAAAACATCGAATTATATAACGATGTTATAAAGAATTTGTCGCCACGACAAAAAACCTCTGCCGATTACTAAAAGGCACAAATAAAACAATGCATAAAAGCGAGAAGTTCTTGCTATAACTAAGCTAACCCTATAAATTTATTAATATTTATTTTTTTGCCAAAATTTTGAAGGATAATGTTTGCTGATTTGAATTTACCATTTTTTAGGGTAATGATAGTTAGAGATTTGTTAATTTCACGCGTTTGTGCTGCACTTACGGTGCACTACACCGCTGCACAAACTTTATTTAAAATTTTTTTTGGTTTTAGGGTTTTTAACCCTAACCCTAACCATTTACACATTACCGCATTTCTTGTTTTGTTTCTGTTAAGTTGTTAGTTTGTGCAGTTTTTAACAAAAAAGGCACAAAAATGGCAAAAAGTAACAAATTACACATATCTACTAATAAATTTAGTAATAATAATAGTCTTTTACGTGCTTTAATGGATTATAAGTAGCAAGACAATAGCGATGAAGTTGAACCTTTTCAATTGCCACAGGATGAAAAACATTCATATCCGCAAGGGTTTGTGGATGCCTCTGAGAAAATAGTGTTTGAAAATAAAATAAAGATGTTTTCGCAGCAAGGAAGAAAAAAAAACCGCGGTAAAATAAACCACATAAAAATACTTGCCGCTGGATTTACTCCACAAAATGACTTGGCTAAAAACTGCAATCTCATTTCTAAAAACGGAGAATTGAAGATTAGGCTAATAGCATATATGCTACAATAAATGGCCAAATTAGAGAGTTCACAATTACTGATGAGGACTTCAAAAGGTTATGCAAATATATAAATTGCAACCTTTGGTTAATTCAGGGAAAACACTGTCAACTGCCGTTGTATTCAACCATGTCTGAAACAGTTTTATAAAACAGAAATTTAATTAAAGATGATTTCAAAAACAAATTTTGCAGAATATTATTTGAGACCTTAGTTTATAAAACACATATTTAACAGGACATTACTTAAAAAACATATTTAATATTGTTTGAACTCACAAACTAAATATAAATTGCAACATATGCAAACTAACCACAAATCACGACATGTCTAAACACTCAGTAAATGCAATTGAAACAAATGTCGTAAATGTTAAAAAATCAGAACTTGTTAAAAATGGGCACAAAGATTTGAGGACTGGATATCATTTAAAAATTCTATTTATATTGGAAGAGATTTGAGTTTTTATGTTAAAGGAACAGTTGGGTCAATTTTTATGTTGCTAAAAATAACGCTAAATACAATTCCAAAAAACAGTATTATTCATTGGACGAATCACTCAAACTGAATAGAGAGCATATTGAGTCATCGCAACACCTAATTAATAAATTACCTGAATTATAAGGAAAGACTTTAGGATGTTGGTGTAAACCAAATAAATGCCACGGTGATGTTTTGATAGAATAAGAAAAAAAATACCGCAACTGATATACTTTATTTAATTAAAACATTTCGTCATAACTAAAGCGATTTTTTTATTTTAATGTGTTTGAAAATTTGAAAAAAAACCAGGACTAAATAACTTAATTATACATTACCAAGCATACATCGCACATTATACACTATATGTCACAGATTTTTTATAAATCGGTGTTAGTATAATGGCTGACATTTTAAATGATATTCATAATAGTGAGGAATTTACAAAACACGTTTTATTTTCAGAAAAATGCCATATTTTTAAATCAGAGCTTAAAAAATATACTCCAAAAATTCGAAACTTAGTTAAAACAACTGATGAGCTAACATCCATGAGTTATTATTGTGGAAGAGGATCTTATTGTGGAAGACAGACTCCCGAAAATTTTTCAATTGTTGAAAAATGTGATTTACTGATCTCAAAAATCGAGCAGCTTGAAAAGAATATTCGCACAAATGCATTAAAATATTGTCACGATAGCCCAAAATTACACGGAATAATAATGCGCAAATTTTCTGAAATATTTATGTTTGTTGAAAACTCCATTGTTGAAAACTCCAGAAGCAAAACTCATATCAACATATACAAGATTATATTCTTCAATTGAAAGGTATTTCAGTTTTATTTTTGATTTCAAAGAAGTTCGAAATAAAAGTCATCGCAATTGCTTTTATCTCGCGATGTATGGAATGACATTGACTCATTTTCCACAACGTCAAAGAACACTGAACATATCACAAGTTATACGAAAAATACAACGCGTTTTTATCAAACGTAAATCAACTATCAATACCAACATTTTGTAATATTCAAACGAAGTTTGACCAATTGAAATTAGGTTTCGAACAACCATTAATGCTGATATCTCAAGCGTAACACAATGACCTTAATAAGTTTATTGAATATGTTAAACAAACGTCAAATTGTAGCGAATTATGCAAAAATCTTGATGATTTTGTCTTAAAACATATGAAAACACCAAAATAAGTTTCGATTTTTGGCACACACAACAGGTTTTATAACTAAGGCAGTCAAAACAGCTTGAGTGATTTAAGAGTCTTGAAAGATACGCTTTTACGAAAAGCATTAAATAGATAAAGCTAACTTATTTAAAATAGTAAGTCTTTAACCTGTTTTTCGATATTTAAATTTACTTTTTAAATAAATGTTGATGAAAGGGTAAAATATCGTTATAGCCTACGTTAATTTTTAAATTCTTTTAAAATTAAAGGAAAGAGTTATGATACTCATTTAAATAGGGTTAATAAAATATTTTTGATTATATTATATATATTATATTTAAGAAATTATTAAACTAATTCAAATATCTTTTAAGATAAAACAGTAAAAATAATTGTTTAAAATACGCGCGTGCAAATAATTCCTACAACTACTAAACGTAAAATAACGCTTAAAAACACCAATAGTATGTTTGCAGTGAATAAAATTAAGTTCAAAGATAAATAGGAAGAAATGTTTAAAACTGTTACAATAATAACTTTTAATTTTAATTACTTTTGATGTTTGTTGCGATGAAAAAAAAAAGGTCACTGGAATATGAACTCCCGGG